AAGCTGGCTGGGGAATTCTGGGAGTTGAAGTCCAGACATCTTAAAGTGGCCAAGGTTGAGAAACACTGGTTTATAGGATGGTGGACAATGCAGAGAAAGGAAAAAAGATGTTCACCTCTCTCTCTAAGCATGAGAACCCAGGCTACCCCGTGAAGGTGAATGGGGTAAGATTGAAGACAGGCTGAAGGGAGTCTTCACACAACTCTGTTAGGGAATCCTCTCCTACAGGGAGCAGGGAGAGCGAGCAAGGTAGATTCAAAGTCAGAGAAGAAGAGCCAACGCCTCTTCTCATTGCCCTGCTATCAGGAAGGGCCACTTATAGCAGGTTCCCTCCAGATGTTGCTGAGCAACAGCAGCCCAGAGATTGAGAAACCTCCAGCCTTCAGGATGCTGTAAACTACCGTTCCCAGCAGCCACAGCCAGAGAAGCCAAGGGTGAGGGATACTGGGAGCTGTAACTGCATGCCAGCTGGTAGGCTTGTGCATACTGTGTTATGGTGGCTCAGATGTTCAGTTGCTTCCAATGCTTTGGGACCTGATGGGCCTCATTTTACCAGGAGTGTCAGGAGCTCCTTCTTCAAGTTCTTCTAAGCACTTCTTCTTTCATCCATGAGAATCTCCAGCCATCTTCTTTTCTGTTGCTTCCTTTTCAATTGCCTTCCATTTTTCCAAGCAATAGGGTTTCTGTTCCTTCTCCAAGGAAACCTGCGTGCAACCTATCTGAGCTTTAGCATCATTAGAAGTGCTCCCAGTGGTCAGACAGACTAACGAAACTATAAAAGATGAGGAACTCTTCATTCTAGATCTCCTCATTCCCTTTGGTTTCCTGGCCAACCATGAGGAGGATTAGGCGTGTATGGTGTCTCTGTGGCGCGTGTGGGTCTGTGTGTTGAGTATATTCTAATAAAGCCACTGGATTGTTTTCTTTCATCATGCTCCTGGTGCTTAGGTGTGGCCTTCACATGCCACGTTCTGACTTGGCATACGAGCCTCCCAAGGAACGCTTCCAGCCCTCGACATCTGCTGTTACCTTGGGCCAAGTAGAGAACGGCACGCGCCACTTTCAGCCTTCGGTCCCGGCTGACCACCTCCAGCCCGTCCAATAACCGCATCACGTAGGTCTTCTGCTGAGTCAGGTCCAACTCCGACCACCGCTTGCCCTTTGCTGCAGAGAAGGAACGACGGTTGACTTTACTGGTTTAGGGAATTTGCAGGGCCACCCAACTCCATCAACACAACTCTGGGCCGCTTGCAAGAAGCAACCAGGGATAAAAACAACAGTCCACAAGAGACCTAATAAATATAAGTACAGACTTACATTCATGCCCTCTCCTGATGCTAATTTACCCATCTTGGCCCCAACGCTCAGGGAAATAACCACATTTTTAAGGGCTTTCTAAAGCTGTTCGCCAAAAAGTGGCCATTGCTCACAAATGAACCGTCTCTCGCAAAAGGAGAGAGAGGGTTCTGTGGCAGGCCTGGCCTCTGGAATAGCTCCCCCAAGATCCGTGTGGCTCCCCCGATGATGCCCCAAAGGCACCAAACCCCCGGCTGTTCGTCCGGGTCCTGGGGCAGCGGGTGGGGGAGCCCCTGTAAGACTTGGTCGTGCAAAATTGTGTTCCACGTTGCACGCTTTTTTTTGGATGGATATCGTCTGTTTCTGTCTTTCCTCCTGTTTTGACTTTCTAATTATGGGAAACACCCAGAGTCCGTTGGAGTGGGGGTGCTTTTCGAAATATCCGTAAATCAATGAATACTACGGAAGTGAAAAGAGGCCAGCGATAGATGAATGAGAGCAAGAGAACACGATCGTACGGAAGGACTCAAAGAGACATTTCAGGTAATATACAATATTTCACTGCATTACCGAATTAACCCATTTTCTGATTTCATACAAAAAGCCCGTTCAGTTTCTAGATTCCTGCTGTTTTCTTTCTTTCTCCCTTGCATTTCTCCCCCACCCCCCACCCCAGTCAAGGGTGTTGGCAGATACGGTCTTTGCCACCCAGACAAATTCTACACTTCACAGTATCCTGCGGGAATTTCCCCAAATTTTGATCATTCGACAACCTCCCTTTTCGAGCATCCAGGCAAACGGGGTACCTTGAATTTGGAAATCCTCCTCAAAGCACTTCCTGTTCAGGGCAAACTCGGGTCCCTCGGTGTAGCTGTACAGCTCTGTGCAGGAAAGTTTGTTCAGAAAGGGAGAATCAAGATCTGCCCTCCGATTCCACCCGCCTCGCGCTTCTGCCAGCCCGCAGCTGCCCTCCCTGCGAAGGCCTCACCCGAGGCAGCAGCAAAGCCCAGGAACTGGGTTCGAATCCCTGCTCGTTCCCGAACGCCGCTGGCCTTTCTGTCTCCCAACCTCACATCTCTCCCGGGCGCCAGAGCAGAGGCTGAAGTTCTGAGCTCCTGGGCACAGGAAGACAGAAGCTGGCCTTTGCTTGGCAGGTACATTTCCTTGCCAAACAGTCGTTTTGCTCCTTAAAAAGCCAGCAGGGCCTGGGAGCACTTTATCAGTTCTGCTGTTTGGTTTCTCCCGATGCAACACACCCGCCCGCAGAGGACTGCAAACCCGACCTGAGTTTCGGCCAGGTCTGGGTACAGGTGGAAAGCTGGCTGATGACATTGACGGAACTTGCAGAAATGGCAAAGCAGACCAGGTCGGTCAGGGGAAAAACTGATAAAAACCTTTTGGAAAGACTGGAAGCCTGATAAGGGTTTTTTGTTGCTGTTTAGGTGCGATCCATCCCAGAGGGCCAGCATCCTGCGACGCCCTTGCAAGGCGGATTCAGGGCCTTCTGCTCTAGCACGGCGGGGGCGGGGGGGCGCTAAAGTTTCCAAAAGTCACCTAGACCCAAACTGGAGACTATGGCTGGGCTAGTAGTACAGCCGCTTCTAATAAAGATTTCACGTTAATCAAGTTGCCTACTCCCTACACACACACACACACGCAAGCAATGAACACAGCGCTTCTCAGGTTAACTAAATGGACACATCTTGGGGAGGAAGGGAAGGAGGAACAAAGGGGAAGGGTGGGAAAAGGCACTTTTTTGAAATTTCTTTCCTTCTTTCTCTCTTTGCTTT